AATAAATAAATAAATAAATAAATATAAAAAAAAACCAGGATCCATACTTCTGCTGCATACAAGAAACACACCTCAACATCAAAGACAGATATTACCTCAGAGTAAAGAACTGGAAAAAGATTGTACAATCAAGCAACCTAAGAAGCAAGCTGAATAGCTATCCTAATATTTGACAAAATAGATTTCAAACCAAAATGGAAGAGACTGAGGATACTGCATCAAAAGAAAAATTCATCAAGGTGAAGTCTCAATGCTGAACATCTATGTCACAAATACAAGGGCACCCACATTTGTAACAGAAAGATTACCAAATCTTAAAGTACCCATTGAATTTGACACAGTAATTGTGGGAAACTTCTACACCTCACTCTCTCCAATGGACATGTTTGCCAGACAGAAACAAAACAGAGACATAACAGAACAAGCAGATGTTATGACTCAAATGGACCTGAAAGATTTCTACAGAATATTTCTCCCAAACACCAAAGAATATACCTTCTCAGAACCTCAGGTAACCATCTCCAAAACTGACCACATATGCAGTCACAAAGCAAGTCTCAACGGATACAAAAAAAAAAGAATAACATTTTGTATCTTATTAAATCATCATGGATTAAAGTTGAGTTCAACAACACAAACTACAGGAAGCTTACAAGTATATGGAAAATGAGGAAATCGCAACTAAATTACCAATGGGTCAAGGAAGAAATAAGCAAAGAAATTAAATACTTCCTAAAATTCAATGAAAATGCACTTAAACTTAAAGGACACAATGAAAGCAGTGCTAAGAGGAAAGTTCATAGCACTAAGTACCTGCATAAAGAATTTAAAGAATTCTCATACAAAAAAAAAAGCAAGCATATTCACGAGGAATAGATGGTAGGAAATAATCACATTGAGGACTGAAATCAAGAAAATAGAAACAAAGAGAAAAATACAAAGAATAATTGAAACAAAGAGTTGGTTCTTCGAGAAAATCAACAAGATAGACAAACCTATCTAAACTAACTAAAAGGCAGAGAGATGATGTCCAAATTAACAAAACCAGAAATGAAAAAGAGAGGCATAACAACAGACAGTGAGGAAATCTGGAGAATCATTAGGTCATACTTCAAAAACCTATACTGCACAAAATTGGAAAATCTAAAAGAAAATGACAAATTTCTTGATAGGTACAACACACCAAAGTTAAAAAGACCAGATAAACAATTTAAATAAGACCTATAACTCCTAAGGAAATAGAAGGAATTATTTTTTAAAAAATCTCCCAAACAGAAAAAGCCCAGCGCCAGATGATTTTGGTGCAGAATTTTACCAGACTTTCAGAGAAGAGCTACTGCCAATATTCCTCAAATTATTCCACAAAACAGAAACAGAAGGAATATTGGCAAATTCTTTCAATGAGGCCACAGTCACCCTGATACCCAAACCACACAAAGACTCAACAAAGAAATACAATTACAGGCCAATTTTCCTCAAGAACATTGATGTAAAAACACTTGATAAAATTTATGCAAACTAAATCCAAGAACCCATCCAAAAGATTATCTACCATAATCAAGTAAGCTTCATCCCAGAGATGCAGAGATGGTTCAACATATAAAAATCTGTCAATGTAATCCACCATATAAACAAACTGAAAGGAAAAATTATATATGGTCATCTCATCAGATACTGAAAAAACTTTTGACAAAATCCAACATACCTTTATGATAAAAGTTTTGGAGAGATGAGGGATACAAGGAACAAACCTAAACATAATAAATTCAATATACAGCAAGCCTATAGCCAACGTCAGATTAGATGAAAACTCAAAGCAATTCCACTAAAATAAGGAACAATACAATGCTGGGCATTCTCTCTATATCTATTTAATATAATGTTCAAAGTTTTAGCTGCAGTAACAAGACAAATAACACAAATTGTAAAGGAAGATGTCAAAGTGTTGCTATTTACGGATGTTGTTGTGTGGTATTCTCATTGTCTTCTGACAAATAAAGCTCGCTTGAAGTCAAAGGGCAGAGCTGGCTACTAGCTGACCATAGAGGTTTGGGGGACTGTAGAGAGAAGAGACAGGAAGTGGTAAGGAAGGGCTGAGAGAGGATCTTGGCCCTTTTGGATGAAGGAACGGAATAGGTAGCAGGCAACTGGTGGCTGCTCCCCTGCTTCTCTGATCTTTTGGATTCTCATCCTGATAACTGACTCTTGTCTTTTATTGATAAAGATTAATTAGATAAAAACTCTATCTGGAACCCAACATGGGGCACAAATTTACAAGATAGCTGTTTGGCCTTTCCCGTGCCACCAGCTGGCTTTTCCTTTCTTTCTCCAAGTCCTCAGAGTGAGTCTGGAATTTTCCTCTTGCAACCTCTCTACAACAGTCTCTGGGTGCCACCTAAACTCCACAAGTTCCACACTCCAGAGGCACCTGGGCTATAAACACTGCAGAAATTACCTGCTCATAACAACCTGGCTCTGCATCAGGCAGCTCTTGCCATGTGTCCTTCTTAGGCCCTATCCTGTATCTACTTTTCAGACAGCAGACTCCCTCTTACTGTGGGTTGCAAGCTTCCCCAGGACCCCCTCCTTGGGCAGCTGCCACACTAGGCAGCCACCTTGACAGTCACTCGTGCTTCTATTGTTGCAACCACCACATACTCTCAGCTCACTGCTACATGCTAGAAGCTGCAGCTGCCCTCAGCCAGGCTGTGAGCATCTGTGTTTTCAGCCCAGATGTGCTACACTGTGACAGCCAGCCTTACACTTCTCTGTCATTGTCAGCAGATTTAGGGAGACAACTTGAAATTCTTAAAGGGGAATTAGTTTAAAAAGGAGAGAGGTACTAGAGAGATGGCTCAGTGGTTAAGAGCACTGGTTGCTCTTCCAGAGGACACAGGTTCAAATTCCCAGCCCTCACAAGACAGCTCA